CGGAGCCAGTCACAAAGGCCACGTGTTATGTGATCTCGGTTATATGATATATCCAGAGTAGGCAAACTTACAGCGACGGAAAGTAGATTAGTGGTTCCTGGGGGCTGAGGGGAGGGGGGACGGGGACTGACTGCTGATGCGGACGAGGTTTCTTTCGGGGTGATGACGATGTTCTAGCTTAGATAGTGGTGATGGTTTCACAACTCTGGGACTATACGAAAAAAAAAAACACATCAACTCATATATTTTAAATGTAGGAACTTTAAGGCATGTAAATTACACATCAGTAAAACTGATAAAAGTTCTGGTTCTAAGGTCCAGCCCAAACCTGCTTAGTCAGAATCTGGGTGGAAAACCCAGGCATCTGCACTTCACCCCAACGCCCCAGCAGGACCAGTGACATAATTTGCAGGGCTCAGTGCAAAGTGAAAGTGTAGGGCTCCTTGTTCAAGAATCATTAAGAATTTCAGGGCAGTGACAGCAGAGCTTTAGACAAGCCCTTCTGAGCTAGGAGCCCCTGTGTGACCGTCCAGGACACAAGCTCATGACACCGGCCCTGGAGCCCAGACTGAGGTTTGAGACACTCTCCCCAAAGGAAGGGGGATTTGGTTAGCAGATAAGCATCCTCATCAGAGAAGCTGTAGGTGGATTTGCTGGAAGTACGAGAAGAGAAATCAAAAGGCTTCCTCTGCCTGCAAGAGCTGTGAGGCGGGTTTAGTCGGAACCGAGGCGCAGTCCCCCAGCCAGCGGCTGAGGCATCTCCAGAGCTGTGGGCTCTCGGTGAGGGAGGGAGAAAGGCTTGTTCAGCTGGCAGGTGTGTGGGAGGTCCGGGTCGGCCCATCACCTATCCACAGAGCGGCGTCCATGCCTCCGGCCGATGCCAGCAAAACGGGAGTTCACGAAAGTATGCGAGGGGGCTTGGCGGCCACTAACGGCTCGGCCCCTGCCACCTTGGACACGTGGGCAGTTACCGCCTCTTCCTGCAGCGACCAACCTGCCACCATCCCCGCTGCTTCATGTCACCAGCCTCTGATCCACAGTCTGATCATACCACCATGGTCACACGCGACATAATAAGAAATACACACGTGGTCTCTGCCCCCGGGTCCTCACACAGGGCTCCTGAGTGGTGGGAGCGTCATCGGTTCTCGTGAGGTGACTCATGGTGGGCTCCCGGATCCCTTCAGGATGGGGACTGGTCACCAGAGGGACCGAGTCGTGGTTAGAAGCGTGCGAGTTGCAGCCCCTCCCTCAATCCCTCTCCTCCTCTGTGCATCCATGTGCCAAGAGCTGGTGCACCCCAACTCCACGGAGACAGAAGCTTCTGTGCTCAGGACCCACCCCTGCCGAACCTCACCCCATGTGCCTCTTCCTCTGGCTGTGCATCTGTGGCCTTCATCACATCCCTTATAATAAATAAGCCATAAATGTAAGCAAATGGTTCCCTGAGTTCTGTGAGCCATTCTAGCGGGTTATCGAACCTGAGGGGGCGTTGTGAGAACCCCACAACCAAGGTGGACAGAGATAAGGGTAACCTGGGACCCACCACTTACAGTCGGCATCTAAAGTGGGTGGGGACAGGCTCGTGGGGCTGAGCCCTCAACCTGTGGGGTCTGCACTGCCCCTGGGAAGTGAGTGTCAGAACCGAGCTGACTTGTAGGACACCCAGGAGTCCGCAGAGAGCTGGAGGATCGCTGGGCGTGGACGCCCCACTTACTGACTTGTAGGACACCCAGGCGGTGTCCGCAGAGAGCTGGAGGATCGCTGGGCGTGGATGCCCCACTTGTTTGGGGTCAGGTGTTCTGTGAGCGGAGACAAGGTTTCCCTTCACCCTCGCGACAAGGTACACGAAAAGGCAGAATCTCTTATCTCTTCAGCCTCAGTCGCAGGAGGCAGGCTCTGCTTCCCACCAGACCTACTTCTCAAACTGTCGACCCTTCATTCTCATGCAAAGACAGAACGGGCAGAGCCCACGTTTCCAACTTAGGAGTCAATCAGCGCAGCACAGCAGAGTCAAAAAACAATACAAGAGGAAAGGAAGGAAGGAAAAGGAAAAGAGAGAGAGAGAGAGAGAGAGAGAGAGAGAGAGAGAAAGAAAGAGAGAAAGAAAGAAAGAAAAAGAAAGAAAGAAAGAAAGAAAGAAAGAAAGAAAGAAAGAAAGAAAGAAAGAAAAAGAAAGAAAGAAAGAAAGAAAGAAAGAAAGAAAGAAAGAAAGAAAGAAAGAAAGAAAGAAAGAAAGAAAGAAAGAAGAAAAAAATCAAAGGACAGTACAAGAAACATCTCTCATCTGTCCATCATCAGTGAAGAAATGAATGTTGGACCAAAATGCTCAGGTAGATAGATGTTCACTGGTGAATGTCCTACAGTCAATAAAACCATCACCTCTGGGGTGATCTTAACCTTACAGAAATCATTGCATCTTATCCATTTTCTTAAAGGCCAGAGACCCTGCGACTTAATCAGTAATAAATCATGGCAACAAAGTCCTGGTCCCTGAGCCCAGCTCTGCCCTATAGACCTTTCTGCGGGCATGGATTCGTCCCGCGTCTGGGCTGCCCACTCTAGGAGTGACGTGGCGACTGAGCTCTTAAAATGTGGCTCGCGTGACTGAAGAACCGAATTTTTAAAGAACGTTTTATTTTTAAATAAATGTAGCTGCACAGACACATTGTAGAGAGCAGAGTTCGCCCACACACAAGTGTCTGCCACCGTCACGGTGCCTCGACCAGAAAGCAGACGGTGACACCAGTACGGGCTTAACTGGGATTTTCACCGGTTTTTTCACTAAGGTCCTTTTTCAGGGTCTCCTCCAAGATTGCGTTCAGTTGTCATGTCTCCTCGGTCCCCGACCTGGGGCGGTTGCTCAGTCTCCCCGCGGTCTCCCCACCCTGACACTTTTGAGGCATGTGGGTCTGGGGTTCTGTAGACGGCCCCTCAGCCTGGGTCTGTCTGGTGTCTCCTCGTGAGGAGGCAGCTTTGGATCTGGGGAGGAGTCTGCGGTGTGAGCGAGGCCCCTGCCCTGTCCCGTCCCGTCCCCTCCGGGTCCCCGGCGCCCGCTGACCGGCGGTGTTCGCCTGGCTCCCTCACTCGGGGTGCTGTCGGCCGTGCTTCTCCCTGTCCAGTTGCTGTCTTTCCCTTCTGTCCCTGCCCTAGGAGCCAGTCGCCACGTCCAGCCTCCCACTGGGGGAGGGGAGCCCAGCCCCGCCTCCTGGGGGAGGGGTGTGGCGCCTCTGCGGTGGCCCGTTAAAGTCACCGCAGCGTGTGGGGCACGCGCCAGGCCGGCAAGTCCCCGTCTCTGCCACGCGTTTTGCCGGCTCCGCTGAGGTGGGGGGGGGCCCCGGCCGGCAGCGTGACCTCTGCGACGCGCCCGTGGCGACCTTCTCTGTCCCTCCTTCCTCCCTGGTGATTCGATAGAGTTCTGTGAGGGACGCTCGTCCCTTCTGTTTGTTTATTTATATTGCGTCAGACTGGTGGGTATTCATTTTATTCTTTGGAAGGACATATGGTTCTCTCTCATTTCCCAGTTTTGGATAATTTTTCCAATAACCGCAGTAGTGGTTGGATATTGGGCCATGAAAAAGAATGATAGCTGTCCACCGCAATGGGTATTTTTGGAAGGACTGACCAGAACGTCGTCATTGGAGGCTAAGCTCTCTGGGGGCTTGCAAGCCTCGTGTGGGACTTAGAGTAGAAATACCCACAAGAGTGAGAACGGAAAGCCCGAGGCGGAACTGCCTGTTTCAGAGTCCTAGCCTCATCCCCCTTGCATGAGAACCTGGGCAAATCACACTGTCTCGTTGCGCCTCAGTTTCCCCCAAACAGGATAAAGACGAAGGTGCTAGTCGACGCAAGGTCAGTGGTTCTCAGGCTTGAGTGTACGTCTGACTCGCCCGAGGGGGTTCATCAAAGCCCAGGGTGTTGGCTGCACACCCAAAGTGTCTGAGTCAGCAGGTCTGGGGTGAGGCCCAAGGATCTGTGTTTCTAACACGTTGCCAGCTGCTGCTGCTGCCGGTCCAGAGACCACACTTTGAGAATGTTGGTCCCGATGACCTCTAAGAACCATTAATGGCTTTGCACTCAGCATTTATTTAAACATCCCTGATGGCGAGGGTGTCACTGGGGAAATGAAGGAGCAGACCTTGCAGGAGCAGAGGCACTGGATACCCACTAGGGGATCACAGGTGCTCTGTGCCAACCAAGGCAGTAAGTGTCCCTGAAGCCAGTCACTGCCCAGGGAGGGACAAGGGTTGGATAAGGTGGTGAAGAGCCAGCTTGAGTCTGAGTCCCACCACTTAACAGCTTTGTGGCCTCGGGAAGTGACTCAGTGACTTTTTGCCTCAATTTACCCACCTATGAAAAGAGGACAATAACGGTACTTACATGGCCTGGGATAAAGACAATGCTCAATAAATGGTTGTTTCTGCTAGAATTATTATCATTTGCTGCTGAGCCTGCCCGGTTAGGAGAAGCGTCGCTGACAGACGTAGTGTCCATTTCCACGTCTCATGCTCCCTCAGCCACGCCACCACCCAGCCTGGATTCCCCGTCACTAAATTTACCCCCCTCACAAAATCCAAAACAGATTATGAGAAAAATTCAAAATAATTTATTAAATAGGTACCGAGGGCTCCTCCAAGGAGCATTAACAACTCTCGATACAATAAATATCAATAAGTTAACATAGTGGCCACTTCCTGCCCTCGCAAGGGTATCATGAGAATAAATAAATTTAAGACTGCAGAAGAGAAACATTCTATAAATACCAATACTAGTAACAATGACATAGTTCGAAATCTGTTTGAAGTTCACTCATACATTTATATCTCAGGTCTCCCAAGACTGGTCTTTCTGGGGGTCCACTGAGATTATGCATTGGAATAATTTCATAATAACTCACAGCAGAGTTCGCATACTTAGCTGTCGCTCATCTTTTTTTTTTTAAGGCTTCGCACATGTTTATTCCAAGAAGCAGAGACTCAGCAGGATGCCCTCTGACGGCGTCACACCTGCACTGAGTCCATGCACGTAGAAAACCTTTGTAAAACGGCCACGATGAACCTTTTATGTTCAAAGGTATTTTCAGGCACCGAAACTTCTGTGTCTGGTTCACGTGGAATGTTGAGTTTGTTGAGCTGTTCTATGAGAACATCGATGTCCGCTTCGTCATCTAACAATGGTTTGATCGCCCTGAAGTAAGGCAGGATGGCTAAGCTGTTGGCGATGTGGGGCGGTTGGCAGTAGGAGGTGAGACTCGGCAGTGGGTAAGGCGTAGAATCCGACAGTCCCGACTCCTTCTTCACAAATGGAACAAGGGGGAGAGACGGGCGAGCATTAGTTTTGGAGGTGACTGCTGCATGCTTCCTCCGTGACTGGCGTGAACGAGCCTCCTCCCACCCCCCTCATCTCGTCTGATCAGTGTGACAACCCGGCGAGGCCGTGATCATCACTATCCCAGAAGAAACTAAAGCTCCATCAACAGTTTGCAGAGCTGGCCCGAGAGCAGGCAGCAGACCCAGATCCCAGCCCACGCTGGGCATCCACTCCGAAGCCTATGCGGATGACCACCGCTCCATCCTGCCTCCTCTGCCCCGCCTGGCTGAGGCCTCTCTAGCCTTCTGGAATCTGCTCTCGGCTGCTCGGGGCCTCAGACAGGTGGGGAAGAGGAGACTCTCTGGGTTTCCATGCTGCTGCTTGCCCTTGGTGACTCTGTGTTAAATCCAAAATGTCTCCTGCTTAAGGGAGTGGCAGGGCGTTATACTTGTCTGGAAAGGCCTCTAAGATGTCAGGGAGAGATTCCCCAAACATACCCCGACTCCAGACCTCACCCTCACCCGTCCCTCTTCCTAAAGACTAACGAGCTAAGAGCACCTCACCACCCTGAACTGCCTGGTCACCTCGGCTGGTAGCGACTTCTGCCTTTGTGTCTGTAAAAAACAAGGCTAAGGTTTGAATACCAGGGTGGACGGGAAGGGCAAGGCCGATGTCACGAATTATTCCCATGTTTTGGGTTTTGTTTGTTTAAAGCCACCTAAGAGCTTCTGTCTGGATCACAATCCTAAGAAAATGGGGGGCTATTTACATTTATGCAGCCACATACTTTCCTCCCGATGGGGTTAGCTCAGGACAGCCTCTGCTAGAAGCAGACTGGGTCCTAATTAAGCAGTGAAGCCGCATGCAAGCAGACCCCTGATTATTAACTGCCCTGCTCTGCCGTAAGGGACACTCTGGGACCCATGTGAGGGTTTTCACATCCTACATCCACGAGGACATTGTTTACAGCTTAGGCTGCCGTTTGCTACTCCTTAGCAGGCTCCTGGATGGGTAGACAAGGTGGCCCACCTCAAGAGATGTGCTACAGGCAGGAAAACTCAATAGTCCTGTGAACCAAGTATGTCAGGAGTGAACAAGCCGACTAAAGCAGACTCTATAGTATATGGGAAATTGTTGAATTTTTGGCCATCTGAGCTAATGTCTGCCTCTGACCCCTATCCTCATAAAAACCCCACCGTAGTCCGCCTAGCTGTTCCCATCCCTTCTTGGGGATGGGATGACATGGCTGCATGACACTTACGTATTCTCTCAAGAGTCCCTTAGACGAGAACCGCAATTCCAAGATTATTTTTGTTAGGTCATGGCCACTGATGGGGGCCGTGTGGGAGGACAGCAAAGTCCCCATACAGCAGAGCAGGAACAGGGCAAACCTGGCTGATCCTGGAGAAAGAGAACAGTGCCGTGAGGCACACGGGCCAGACCACCCGGCCGCCCCAGCTTCAGCCCCCCGGCCGCTGTCGAGAGCAACCGCAGGACTGAGCCCCCACCCAGAGCCCCCACTCCTCTCTGCCCCAGACGCAGAGGCAGCGGGACGCAGCGATACCTGAGTGGCAGACCATGGTGCGAGGGAGCAGGGCCCGCTTCGGCAGCAGCGTCTGGAGCCAGATGTGTTCGCCATGGTACCGGGAGGTATATAAAGGGCCCTCTGCGAGGAAGAACAACGTCCCGCCCACAGCAAGATCATTACTCAGCTTTTTTTCCAGAAAACACTTTCAAAATTCTGCCACCCGGGGCTGTGTGAAAGCAGGTCTGGAAGGAAGTGCTGAGGTCACCTTCAAAGTGGGCAGATGCCTTGACTCAATACAGGCACATGCAGGAAGGCACACACATCTTTCTTGGAAAGAGCTTGTAGATCTGACCAAGAGAAATTTTGAAGCCCAGGGTAGACGGGCTCAACCACCAAGAAACTGATGACACAAGGGTTGCTGGTCAGCGCCTCACGGGGAATTTTGGGGGAAGGTCAGGGTCGAGTGCACGTAGGTGTACAGCTAGCATGAAGTTTGTAAGATGCGTTATCTCTGTGGATTTCGGACACGTGCCCGTGCCGGCCCTGATCACCCCCGCGAGTGTGGTGCGTCAAAGGCTTTCTCTCAAGCATCACTGGACTTCCAACTATGTCTTTCCAACCGCAGGGCCTCCACCTGGGCTCCGTGCTCGAGAGTTATTTGTCGAAATCACTTATTTGGATTTTGGATGCCATCTTTGACCGAGCGCTCTTCTAAGTTCTCAGGAATGGTGGCCAAAAAAAAAAAAAAGTCAGACGAGGTCCCCGTCCGCATGGAGCTGGCATTGTAGTGAGCAAGGGGCACGGCAGCAACAAACAAGAAAGTGTCGGGCAATGATAAGAGCTATGAAAATCAAACGGGGCAACGGGGTAGAGCGTGACGGGTGAGATACTTTAAGTCAGGGGATCAGGAAAGGTCTTTCCGAAGAGGTGCCATTCAAGCCGAGACTTGCAAGATGACAAGGAGCCTGCTGCGGGAAGATCCGAGGAAAGAATGCTCCCAGCAGAAGGGACCCTAGGACGGAAGTCCTCAGGCAGAAATGAGCATGCCGTAGCCAAGGAAGCAGGTCCTGGCGGCTGGAGTGAGGCGAGATAAGGGGGCGGTGCTGGAAATGCGGGCAGAGGCCCAATCACGAGGGTCTCACGAAGATTAAGAACTTGGGTCTCCTGGCCAAGTGTCGTGAGACACCGTGGGATAAAAAATTTGCCCCATGATTTCCACAGTCTTGTGTTTACTCCCGTCATCACGTTACAGGACATGGCAGAAGGGACTTGGCAGATGTAATAGTTACTAATCAGTTGACCTTAAGATGGCTTGATCACCGGGTGGGCCCCATGTGGTCACATGAGCCCTTGAAAACAAAGAGGAAGTCAGAGAGACTCAAAGCACCAGAAGGACTCGGAGCCATTGCTGGCATGAAGATGGAGGGGGCCACGTGGAAAGTATGAGATGAAAATGAACTTGGACAAGGAGCAGTGAGTCTGGAAGAGGACTCTGGGCCGCAGACGAGACCCGCAGCCCCAGCTTTCGCCCGGTAACAGCCCGGGCAGAGAACCCGGTTACACCATGCTAGACTTCTGACCTACAGACATCGTGAGACGGTAGCTTTGTAGTTTCAAACTGCTGAGTGCATGGCATTTTTTAGAAGAACAATAAAGAACCGATATAGTCTCCAGTGACCTCATGTTGCCAACCTTCCTGGGTTCGTTTCAGACTTGATTTTACTTGCCCCCTCTACGGTATACAGTGATATCAACCACATCCTCCTTCTCGAAAGCCTCTTTTCTCTCTCCTTCCATGAGAACGTTTTCCCGAAACAGTTTGGCCCCTCTTACAGTGGCTTCTGAGGATGAATCACCTTCCTGCTTGGCCCTGCCACGGGCACATCTCCAAGAGCTTCACTCTTGACCTATATTCCTCTCACTTCAGTATCTCTCTCCTTCAGACTCCAGATCTAAACGTCCAGCCGCCTCATGGACATCTCCACCTGAACGTCCCACCTGTACCTCACACTTGACAGGTCCCAGTCAAGGATCTGAACCAGGTAACAGTGAGAGTAGAGACGAAGAGATGTGGGTGGACTGGCGAAATCTGTAGAAGGTAAAAGTCACAAGCGATGGTGATTGATTGGATGTGGGGAGCATGAGTTTAACTTGTAGGTGTCAGGTCTGGGTGCCTGGATGGGTGGTGGTACTATAAACAGGATCACAGGACTCTGGTGAAGGCACGAATTCAGTTTTCGACATGGTAAGATAGACGGCTTATGGAACCCCCAGGTAAAGACGAACAGCACGCCATTGGACGCTGGGATTTGGAGCTTGAAGGAACTCGAGGCATCAATTTGGGTGCCGTCTGTATATTGCGGTCAATAAAACTGTAAGCCTACAAGACATGACCAATGTGAGATGTGTCAGGCAAGTGTGGAGCTTGGGGACACGACTCCAATAACAGGACAGGGAGAGGCAGACGATTTAGCCCGGAACACTGAGAAATCACTCCCAAGAAAGAAAAGAAATGTACTAGAAACACATGTCATAGAACGAGATGAAAAGCGGTTTTCAGGAAGGAGGAAATGATCGGCCCCATTGTACGCCATGGAGAGATCAATTAAGATAAAGGCCGAAGAGAGTCGCTATGTGGGGGAACATGAGGTTACTGGGAACTCTGCTAGGGGAGTTTGAACAGGGTGTTGCGGGTGGAAGCTGTATCGTGGTGGTTTGTGACGTGAAGAAAAAAATGAAACCACCCAGCTGGTTCATCAAAATCCCAGAAGTCATCCTCGATTTGTCCCTTTGATTGGTTCATGTCACGATAGACTTATTGATACTTATTTTTTTCTTCGAAAGGGCATGTGGTTCTCTTTCTGCCTTATTTCCTAGTTTTGGAGAAATTTTCTAAAAATAGTAAAGGTGTTCTACTACAGAAAAGTCAAAAAGAATGATAGATGTCCATCGCAGTGGGTAGTTCTGGAAGGATCAGAATCAGTAAATTGGACTCCCTCAAAATTGATTTTTGTTTTTTCTCTTTTAAAGACATCGTGAAGAGGATGAAAAGGAGAAACCTAGACTAGGAGAAAATATTTACCAATCACAAATCTGACAAAAAGGCTCGTGAGCAGAATATATAAAGAACTTGCAAAACTCAATTTTATGGCTTAGGCAATAGTTTCTGACATCAAAAGCACAAGCTACCAAAGAAAAAATAGATGAATTACACTTAATCAAAATTAAAAACTTGTTTGTCAAAAGACTATCAAGAAAGTGAAAAGACAACCCATAGGATGGGAGAAAATATTTGCAAATCATATAATAAAAAGGGCTAGTATCCAAAATATATTCAAACAAACAAACAAAAAAACTTCTTATAACTCAACAATAAAAAGACGACTAACCCAATTTGAAAATAACCAAAGGATTTGAATAGCCATTTCTCCAAAGTGGCCAATAAGCACATGAAAAGATGCTCAACCTCATTAGGCATTAGGGAAATGCAAATAAAAACCATAACGAGGTACCACTTTACACCTACTAAGATGGCTACAATTTTTTTAAAGTAAAATAACAGGCGTTGGTGAGGATATGAAAACATCGGAATCCTCATATATTGCTGATGAGAATGTAAAATGGTGCATCTTCTGTGTAAATCGGTTCGGCAATGATCAAAATGCTAGTTACCAACTCCATTCCTAGAGAAATTCATTCCAGGAGAAGTGAAAACGTATGTTCGCATGAAAACTTGTACCCAAATGTTCATAGCAGCATTATTCATCAGAGCCAGAAAGTGAAGACAACTCAAATATCCATCGATGGATGAATGGATAAACAAAATAGCATTCCATCACGAAAAGGAGTGAAGCACTGACACATGCTACAACAGAGAAGGGTCCTGAAGACATTATGCTAAGTGCAAGAAGCCAGACACGAAAGGACCGATATCGTATGATTCTATTTATTTCTAGAAGCAGCAAATCCACAGAGACAGAAAGCATGTTATGTTAGTGGTTGCCAAGGGGGCTGGGTAGATGGGGGGAAATAGAGATTGATGTCCTGATGGATATGGGGTTTCCTTTGTGGATGAGAAAAATTGAAAATTAGATGACAGTGACAGTTGCACTATGAATATAGTTGCACTGTGAATATACTAAAAACCACAGAATTGTACACTATAAAAGGGCAAATTTTAGGGCATGTAAATTATATCTCAATAAAGATGTTACTGCATTTCCAAGTTATAGGAACCAGAACCATCTTATCCCATTAATTTCACAAACCAGTGCCGGGGAGCCCCTCCTGTGTGGCGGGCAGTGGGCCATATGCTCTGAGGATGGAGAGGTAAGACTGGATCCGTCTGAAATGGGATCTCGGTGCCAAAAGTTGCAGACGTCGACAGTGATTAAAAACTCCGACTCAGGGGTTAAAGAGGTCCACATTGGAATCCACCGGTCAGAATCCTGAGGTTGACCTTGGGCTCATTTCTCCTTTCTAGATCTGTCAAATGGGGATGATAATTAGCACCTTTCTCCGGGGCTCTGGGGAGGAGAAACAGGAAGGCGAACGCGCGGGCAGCGCTCCGCACCTGCTGGTAGCGGCCGCGGCGACAGGTAGTGATGCGCGCCGTCACCGGTCCTGCAGCGGCCGCAGGAGGAGACCGCGGCCGTC